GCCCGCTATTCCAGCGCCAGAAGGAAGAAGAGCTTGGCCACAAGCATGGACCGTCGGTTTTTGGACATGTTGGAAGCCCTCTCCGAAACTCGGTGCTCTCGAACGAGATGGGTCACGGCGGTGCCATGGCCCGGCCAATCGGCTCCCGTGCCGGCAGCGAGACCATGTCGGCACTCACACAGCAGCTTCAGCGCACACGGCTGGGTGACGACGGAAGCAGCAGCCCCCACTTGCATCCTTTGGCGGCAACGGGCCGAGCCCCGAGCAATAACGGTGCTGGGCCCATTGGCAAGGAACGGGACCGCGCGATGGAGCGTCATGTCTCGAGCGGCTCCATCAGCTCCTCCGTGACGGGACGATACACGACGCCCATCGACGAGGAGGATCCTGCCTTCGTGTTCAACATGGAGGAAGAGGAAGATCAGTCGTCGGCGCGGCTCCGGAAGCGTGGCTCGGCCGGTTTTGGGATCGGTGGTGGTGGATGGAGCTACGCCAACGCTCTGTCCAACAAAGGTGCACCCTCCGGTTCCGGCTTGGCCAAGGAACAGCGAGAGCCATCGGTCAGCGTTGAAACCGTTGGCGGGCGTTGATTGCTAGCTATGCTTCATGGCGGAACGAAGGAAGTCTTCAAAACACCGGCAACTAGAAAAAGCATAGCGACAGCCTTGCAAATTGTCACGCTTTTCAGTGGCATTCTTTTCACAACTCTCAACATTTACACCCTGACGACACTCTACGACACACGCAACAAATACATATTTCAGCCACGATTTTCACAGCATGCATGGGCAAAAGCCAAACGGAAAACGAAAAATTCAACCGGTCTACAAAATCAATGGGACACGAGTAAGGGATCGGATCTACACGGTGGCTTGCTTATACAACAGGGTAGGGAGTTTGTTGGAGTTTTTGTCGATGCCGAGTCACTTTTGGCTTTTGAGGATTGAATATTGGAGGATTAATACTACCAAACTGGCCCAACATAGGATGGCCTTGCAAACATGGAGAATCCACTGTCAGAATCTTAGGACCGGTGGTTTCCTTCGCCTTGCGCTAGGTGAAGTGTAGCCTCTCGATGCTTGGGGTAGGCAGGGAATGCTCGATACGTCAAGCAGAGGATGGCAATAACTTGTGATCCTTGGCTAGAGGAGGTAACAAATGACCGAGAGAAAACATCTGGCTTTGGCTGGCACAAAAGTCACAGGTCGGCTGGCTGCGTGACTTGTTACCGCATTAGAGACGCCTGGGAGAGGAAAAGCAGATACCACCGTCTGATTTCCATTCATTATATAAAAGCTGATTTTCTGAGAGACTGGCAATGGCCGTACGAATAGTATTATCTGTTGTTGAATTAAATGCACCACAATCCCGAGGCAATACGCGTGACACCTTTTGTATGCATAATAAACACAACCCGGTTTAACCTTTGCCGTGGTAAGGTGGGCTGGCCTGCATTCCGCTCGCTGTGTCTGACGATCCCGAGCTGTTCCGATATTCTCTTGGAGACCGCGGAGACCAAGCAGATTGAGTTGACAGATGACTGGGACGGACGCAAAAGTAAGATGAACAGTCACAACGAAAACCCCGCCAATGGGTGACGAAAATCTATACACTAATACAAGGCAAACGTCAACAGGGCCCAGAGATTGTCCAACTCCAGATCATGTCGGCATGCCGTTTTTGCGCGGAGGCCGCGCCGTGGGCTATCGTACGAAACCGTCCACCCACAAACACACAAAGATAAGCCGGTATGCCTCTCGCTCTCTCTCTCTCCGTCCCTCTTTTTGCCCCCAATCCCGAAAACAAAGAGTTCCTCAAGAGCACAGACGCAGCGTCTTTCGTTTCCCTCCCGTTCTAGTTGCGAGTGGCGTGGTCGATGCCCCGGGGAGGGCAGATTATTGTACAGACCGCCGGGGAGACGGATTCAGTGGAGGAATGGGATGGGGATATTTAGTGGGCGTCGGGCTGGCTAACAATGTACTCGACCGCCTTGTCGACTGTAGATGGTAGATTAGTAGTTGAACTACTCAAGATGGTAAGGGCTGTAGGAGAAGCATACTTGAGTGGATGGTGTCGGCATCCTTGTCGGGGATCTCAATGCTGAACTCCTCCTCAATGGCCATGACGACCTCGACGGTGTCCAAGCTGTCCAAGCCAAGGTCGTTGGCGAAGTGGGCGTTGGACTTGATCTATATTTGCGGACAGACTACGGTCAGCTCTACTATCCTTGCTAAAGCTAGAAGCGCATCTCAATTGATGCGGTTGAGAGGTAGGTAGATGCTGGCAAGGTTTGGTTTGGGTAAAGCGAGAGGAAGGGGCGAAGAGCGAAGGAGGTGACGTACGTTGGCCGGGTCGTTGACCTTGTCGAAACCCTGGAGCAGAGCAAAGATGCGGCCCTCAACCTCCTGCTTGTTCAGGCCGGTGGCGGCAGAGTACATGCGAACGGAAATGGCCTTGGGAGCGGCGCGGAAGGCAGCTTGGGGCGCGACGAGGGATCTCCGGGCGAGGGGAGCGGACTGCTGGACAGCGGGACGGATGGCGCGCGTGGCGGCGGCCGCGGAACGGAGGACTGCTGTGCGGAACATTTGGAGGTATGTGTTTAGACGTGAGAGAGGCGAGACTTTCGAAGGCTCTGGCGATTGGAGTTGAGATCGGGATGGGGGAGATGGGAGGATCGGTTGGTTGACGGCTACAGCTGGGATTTGATGGGAGCTTGCTTCGGGGGTAGTGGAGGAGGGTGCTACGAGGTGCCAGTGATGATGATAAATTTCTCGTCACCCCCCGAGGTGTCCCTGGCTAGCTCTCGGGAGGTGCACGTGCTTAGTCATGTGATCTTGCAAGTATCTTCATTTTGATGCATCACCAGACCAGATGGAGAGAGATGAATAAAAGTCACCAGAAATAACCATAAATGGATTTAGATGTTCTCATAAAATTTTACAACATCAATTGACTTGCACCGCCAAGTGAGGCCGTCATTGTTGAGTCTGAGGAGCTTTTCTTCCGTTCCCTCCAAGTCCCCGGCCAGACCACGTGATCCACACATAGCCAATCAATTGCCGCCCTTTGTAATCCCGCACCAAAGCTCGCGCTCTCTGCGGATGGCCCGAATTGTCCATAACGTCAAGCTCTCTCACAACGCCGCCCCGGAACATCCTACTCCCTCACCACACGCCGTATCCTCGCCCCTCCCCCGTTCGTCGTCAAATCCTCGATTCGACCCCCGGAAACCCCCTCCAATTTGCCCGGTCAATTGGCGCCGACGCATCTCTTTTCTTCCTCGAGGAAAACCATAGCACAATGCCTCCCGCGGCCCAGCTTCCCGTCACCATGTTGGCCCTGGCGTCAACAAGGCCGGTCGCGAGAAATTCGTCGGCTGCCATGCAGCACGTCGGCAGATTGATGGCTGCCAACGCCATGCGCACCTACGCCACGCCCGCTGGTCCCCCGCCTGCCAACTTCCGCATGAAGAGACACCAGACCTGGGACGAGGACCAGGAGTCCACATTGAACAAGCTCGGTCGTTATTTCCTGCTCTCCGAGATGGCCAGAGGAATGTACATCTTGATGGAGCAGTTCTTCCGCCCGCCCTACACCATCTACTATCCCTTTGAGAAGGTGAGCAATCCAATTTTCTCGACATTGGCGACCATACTGGAAGACATACTGGAGGAATTGAGCATCAGAGATGGATAATGGGGTGGCCCATACGGGAAACGCAGGAAGAGCCGGACCATTGCCGAGATTAGGAGGACACGCATCGCCCGCTGTCACCGCACACGAAACCACGAATGCAACGAACAAGAGGGGACTACTGTTTGCGACAGAACAGACACATCGGAGAGCAAGCCGGCTAACAGGAATTTCTCTATAGGGTCCCATCTCCCCCCGCTTCCGTGGCGAGCACGCCCTTCGCCGCTACCCTTCCGGTGAGGAGCGCTGTATCGCCTGCAAGCTTTGCGAGGCCATTTGCCCTGCCCAGGCCATCACCATCGAGGCCGAAGAGCGCGCCGACGGCTCCCGCCGCACCACAAAGTACGATATTGACATGACCAAGTGCATTTACTGCGGTTTCTGCCAAGAGTCGTGCCCCGTCGACGCCATCGTCGAATCCCCCAACGCCGAGTACGCCACCGAGACCCGTGAGGAGTTGCTGTACAACAAGGAGAAGCTGCTGTCCAACGGTGACAAGTGGGAGCCCGAGCTGGCTGCTGTTATCCGTGCCGATGCCCCTTACAGATAAGACTGGGTTTCTTCACCTACACGCAAGAAAGACAGAAATAAATTTCTCTGGTCGAGGGCTTGGTGGGGACGGTCGTGGTGAAGAGCGGAAAGTCGAGGAATCACCCCCTTTTTGGGCCTTTTTGCAACTTTAATGCCTAAAGGATGGACACATCAAGGCGGACGCGAGGGGACGACGGCCGCAGGACAATGAGGACAATGAAGGGCCGCGGCAGCAGTGATCTTGGCATGTTGTGTATTTCTACAGACAGGTCGGGGTTGGTTAGACTTGTGTAAATATCTCTCGCGAAAAGCAACCTTTTTTCTTTGTCTGTTGACCACCGTCGCCCCCGATCTTGTGTGATGGCATCGCAAAAAAGGCATCACATTGACAATGTCATTGCGTTTCATACCATTTTCTTCTTCATGTATGTCATGTAGTTTCGCATCACGTTAGGACGGGGCGTTTAGGTTGAATTTCGAGAATATGATTATTAGTGCAGCTTTATAAACAAATGTCTCTACCAAGTGTTGTTCATCACGCGTGACCTCGTGGGTTGACATTCACGGCGAAAAGATACAATCCAACCAACGCCTTGCTCTGATATCATGGGCCAAGCTTCAGCAACGCCAGCGACCTTTGAAATGACACGCTTCCGTTTCTTTTGTGTTTCCCCCGCCTTGATACCGTGTGGATATCCTTTCTTTCAACGTCTTCCTCATCATCGACATGGCCACGTCCTTTACATCCTTATGCCTCTACGCAAATCTCATCATCATCAAAACGTCTTCTCCCAAGCCCCCCACCAAACACCCATGTTTGCGGCCACGACCAGATCCAACATCTTCAGCCCCTCGGGGTAGATAATCAGCTTGCCCAACTTGGCTCTCTTCCCCCTGTTGCCGCCCCCGGCCCTCTCCTTGCCGAGCTTCAGATCAAACGGGCTAGGCGGCTCGTCCTCGTCGCTATACTCGCCGGTCCGGTTACCGACGTTGAGAAGTCGGCTAAAGTGCCCGCTCAGCTGCTCCCTCTTGCCCTCCTGTTTGAAAATCTCCGTGCTGGGCAGATTAAACCGCAACTCGCTCACGCTAGCCGAGTACGACGACGAACTCGACGGCGCGAGCGGGTTACTCAGTCCGCCGGCCGTGGGGAGGACGTGTCTGCACTTGACACTGCGCCCGGCGTTCCCCGTACGGAACTCGCAGCGGCCGTCCCAGGGCGAGACAAACACATAACCTTGAGGCCGGAGGCCGTGGCCCGGCTGGGTGATGATGGGCCCCGAGTCGCTTCCGTTAGAAGAGGCGGAGCCCGTCGAGTGTGCGCTCAACTGGCGTGAGTGGCGGTGAGTAGACCTCGCTGGCGGCGAACCAAAGGGGACTGAGTCGCCTTCGTCCATCAAGCTGCCTGAGCGCGACCGGGAGCTGAACTTTTCGCGAATGTTGGAGGACCAGGATTTGGCGTAGGACATGACGACTTGGCGTGAGAAGCCACCCTCGGGAGACTGCTGTTGCTGCTGCTGTTGCTGTTGCAGGTGGTTGAGCGCGTCTTCCGAGTTTGCAAAAGGGGGAGCAGTTGTCGTCGACGTCCGTGGCATATCCACGCTCTGGCGCAGAGGCATGTGGCGGAACTTTGCGTAGCCCGAGGACTCGAGGCGGATGTTGATGGGAGGTTGAGGGGCGTTTGCGCGCCGGCGGTCGTGAGCCGAGAGACCTGCCGAGTCGAAGGAGAAGTACTCGTACCCGTCGTCGCCAGAGTCCTCGAGCTGGTGGGAGGCGACGCGGCCTACGTTCCACTGGTTCCCCGTGCTCGGGTCGCGGCGGATGAGGGAGAGGGTATAGGGGACCTCTTTTGTGTTGTGGAAGCGGTTCGGTGAGGGAGAGCGAGATTGTTGGCGATAGACGGAGGTCGGACGGGAGTAACGACGCGAACGCGCCGGCGACGAGGAGAGTTCCTGCTGCGGCGGCAGACGGGACGGGGACTGGGAGGGAGAAGCGCGGTGGAGATCTGTCGGAGGAGGCTGAGGGGGTCTGGAGGCAAAGGGCGCGTCGTAGTCGGGTGCCGGGGTCGGGATAGCTCGCGGGCCGACGGGTTTGCGTACGGGAGGGGCCGGAGGTGAGTGGGATGTTGGTCGTGGAGGAAGCTCCGGGCGGTCCTCTGTCCACCGGGGTTGGCGGGGGTCGTTGCCCGTGCCGTAGCCGATGCCGTACCCCGTCGCATTCCCGGTGCCGTAGCCGTAGAGGCCTGAGTTGCGGTTGCCGGCGGCCGCTGGATGTGAGCCTGGCGTCGGAGGTTGTGCCTGAGTTTGAGCCTGTGTCTGAGGGGGCAGATGAGCGCGGGCTGGATCGGCTGGCGGTGAGGGCACCTTTGCGCCTGCGACGGGTTTCCTCCGGATCTGAGCCGTGCTGCGGGTGCTGTCCATGCTAGACCTAGGCGTGTCCGGGTTCCGTAGATGGTGAGGTTGCTGAGATCCAGCAGCCGCTAAGTTTGGGTGGTATGGGTGGCTACCGTCACTGGGCAGTTCCAGGTGGATGTAGTAAAATGAGTTTGCGACATCTTCGCTGGTGACATTTTTGAGATGCGGTTTTGAGGTTGTCAAGATGACGTCTGCGGGGGTTGATGCGTTAGAAGTTTGTGATTATGAGATTTGACTTGAGAAAGTGAGATCGAAGATGAGAGAGAGGCTTACCTCGCGTGCCAGGCACTCGTGAGATGTAGAGTGTGAGGGGATCTTGACGTTGCTCGGCTGGTCTGTGAGGATATTGCGGGGGGTTTGCGGCGAGATAATTGAGCGAGGCCAGAGACCTAGCCTCAACTTGTGTAGACATATTTTTTTCAAAAGAATGAAGGCTCTTTTTGTTCCGCTTCAAGTGTGCCCAAGCAGAGGGGCAGGAGAAGGAAGTTGTGAGTATATCTGGCTCGATGCAGGTCGGCGGCGGGTGGTTAAGTGTTTGTTGTGGTGGTGTGGTGTGGTGTGTGAGTGAAAAGGGTGGCTGAGCCAAGAGGTGATGTGAGGCGGGAGGTTCACAGCCCACCCGCACTTGAAGGGTACTCGCGGTACGGAGAGTATTCCCTTGTGCCTTATGGATACTCAACTCAAGGGCCAAATGCCGTGGACGACGGGGGAGACCAGGGAGCTGGCGCTGTCAAATGTCACGGCTGGAGCTGGTGTGGGTCGGGAAAACGGGGTTGTGATGGAGAGAGTTTGTAAAAAGGTTGAGCTTAAATGAGGGAAAAGATTTACTTCATCTGGTAAATCTCACTTGGCTCGGTCTCTCTCTCTTTCGGTTTGTATACGGCCGTGGCTAGGTGAGGGTGTTGGTGGTGAATCTTTTTTTTCTGTACAATGCGAGTGAGATTGGTGAGTGTGATGAATTTGGCGATGCAAAAGTGAATATTGAATGCAGAGCGCTGTAAAGAGTATCGCGTGGTTGGTGATGGTGGTGGATGAAATCTGAGCGAGATGTGATCGACCTGCAGCTACAGGAAGGGTGGTTGGGGGCGTTTGAATTAAAGACGGCGAGGGCTGGACGTGGACGCAGTCTTGCAGGAAGATGAGCAAGAAGAGGAAGAGGGGCGAATAAGAGATACTAATATCGCGCGTGTTGCCTGGTGGGTACGCAGCGTATACGGGTATCTTGCTGCTCGTTGCTCCAGTTGTTTGCTCGCGTGTATTCGTAAAGAGTGGGAGTGAAGCGAGGGAGTGAGAAGTGGTTGGCTCGTTGTGCTGGCGATGAGGTGTACCTTACTTTCGTACTTCTATTGTAAGTGCTGTGAGGCGAGTCGACCCTCAAAGAAGAAACGAGAAAAATAGAAACGACGGGCAGGACAAGGGAAGCAAGTCCCCGGATCTGCAATAGCGGCGCGGAAGGGATGTACGGGAATATGGTGCCTGGCGAGCCGCAAGAAAGGGGGCCTGTCGTGTGGTCTTCTCTCTTCTTCCTCCAAGTTGACAAGACAGACAAGCACAAAGTTGCTGGGGTGCGTCGGCACTGTTTGGATCGCTTTCAACTGCGGAGACCGACGATTCCTTGGTAAGAAGCGTGGAAGCGAGCTTTCTGCTTGATGTTTGACTCTTTCTCTCTCTCTTTCTCTCTCTGTCTGTCGACTTGGCGGGCTGAGACTTATCCAATGGCAAAAACGAGTCGTAAGCTGGATGTGGCTGTGCTGTGCTGTGTTGTGCTATGCTGAGCTGCGCTGCGCTGCGATGTGATCCAAAGGTAGCGAGATGGCGGCGCTGATGACCTTGCAGCGCGGTGCCGTGTACGTGTCCGTTCCGTAACCTTGGTGATGAAAGGTCTCGAAGGCCTTCTTTCTTGGTGCCGGCGCCGATGCGCAGTTATTTGATTCCTTCTGAAGCTTTTCTAAAGCTCGGGAGTAAAGCCCAGTAGGGAGACTTTGCACCAATGCCGTGACGGGTTCGGAGTCAGCGACGGCACCTGAAAAGGCTGAAATTAATGATCTGGGCTTGACAGGGACCAGAGCTTTGTCTTGTGAAATGAGAGTGGGCAGTGGGTGGTTTGTGCTGTTCTTGGCATGAGATGGGAAAATGAGGTTTGAGCAGAAGTGAAGATGCTCTGCCAACGATTTTGGTGGGAGGCCAAGCTGTTTCCCCTCTTTTCACGTCTCGATGCTTCAGAAGTTCGGTCTGAACTCTGTATGCATCGGAGAGTTGCGATATGCATGGAAGATCTTCTCGGGAGGATTTTGGGGGACACGAGGCGGGAGGAGAGGGGGATTGTGCTATTTTTCGCATGCTTTCTTGTCGCGGAACTCTGCAGAATCCTCGTGTGGGTTGCCTTCTGTACGCCAATACATGGGTAGCAGTAAGTGGGATGGATAGACTATCCGTACGTACACGACTACCTACCTTACGGATACAGACATTAGACAACGGCCATTCACCCTGCCTGAGAAGTAAGTGAGCACTGAGCAGCCCTGCAATCTCGCATGCCTCAGCTCTTGCTCGAACTAGCTCCAGAGCTTGATCGAGGCTGTTTGTGCTCCGCGACTGGCTACGAAATGTCTCGCCTCCTACACGGGATGACGACCAAAGGTCTCGGATTCCCTCCTAACGGTCCCACGAACGCCTGAGATTGTCCACGACTGAAACAAAACTTCCCAATGATCGTGCCGCAGCCGCATTGAATATCGCTCTCTAGTGGTCCCTATTCCATACCTGAGTATATGTCGATGAGGGGATGTTGCGGTCTATAGAGGGTTACATTCCTATGCGGGTAGGGCCAGGAGATGCTGGAGACAAAGGGGCCCGAGCTGTGAGGAGCTTTCCGTTACGAGGATGTCCTCTCCACAAGAGGTTTGCAGCCCATTTGACTCTGACGAATAAGCACATGCGCATGAAGATGAACGTCACTTGAAGGGCATCCACAGGCTCTTCGGAGCTGGGCAGTCAAAGCAGTCTCAATCTCAAGAGTCAGCTATCGTAGGGCTCCAACGGGGGGCATCCTTTCATTAGCACGCCCAATCCCATCCCCGTCCCATGGAAGGCCTTGCGAGTAGTTACCGAACAACACAGTCATCTCTTAAATACTTCCAAGTTCCTGAGTGGCACAGTGGTTGATGAAATGTGGCATGGCTATACAAAGATTGGTTCAACAGCCAATGCCCGTATACCCGTACACATAGTCAAAAGCCGCCTCAAAAGATCAAGCTTCACACGACTGTGACGCACCGCACCGGATCTTCGGTCGTGTCCACGTCAACTTCAAGGGTCCAGGTCCGCTGTGGCGTCGATGAGACTACACGCAGTACTGTGAAACTGTCCACAAGCGCCCGCGCATGCCGCGAGACCCTGGAGACGGCAACGCCAGGGACCCCGACCGACGTCGCGGGTGTTATCCCCTGTGCCTGGGCCTTTAGCTGGCTGACTGTGCCGTGGGAATGTCAAAAGACTTTGCGCTGAGCCACACTCGTGCCCCTGGAAAACTCGCCGTGTGCCAACTTTGCTTGTCTCGAAAGCCCTTAAGTAAGCTGAGACTCTTCCCTACTGTGTATGTACATAGAGTCTAGCTTCGGCCTCTTCGCTGACTCGGAACTGAACATGCTGCCGACGAGCGAGGCATGTCCATGCCGGCCAGCTGGCAGGTGGGAACTCGTCAACCTCGAAGGCTTGGGTCTCCCAGCTTCGTCTCGCGGACGTGGCTGACTGCTCACCTGTCGACCGTTCCAAGGCTTGATGCCCCCTTATTTCCGCGCCAGCCGTTCTGTCAATCATTTTGGTTGCACTACCTACGCGCACACGATCATGATCATGGTGGGCGACGTTGACGATGATGCGTACGAGGGAGGTTAAGGTTGATAGTGATGTCACTCACCCCAGCTAGATGAATATCAATGGAGACGGCCAACTAGATTTTCTTGTCTCTCTCTCTCTCTCTCTGTGCGTATCTGTGCTATTTTTCGCAGTGTTCGTCACCAAGGATGTTGATCCATGACGAATCCTATGATCTCACGCGACGAACACCTCCACCATGGCGGTAACTATGTGAATCCTCATGATCCAATGCCCAGGTTGAGAGCTTTTAGCATAGCCGGGCGCCCAAATGAAATCCTCACCTTCTTGGCATGGAGACTGCGGTGGGTTCATCCTGTGATGACTGTGTCCACATGTCAGAACGGTCGAGTTGTCAGCTGCAGTCTGGTGAGAAGATCTGGCCATTGACATCGTCTGCTCGTCATTCCGGAGAATTCAACGGTCAATCCACGGCGATCTTGGAGTCTGGGGGATCCAAAATAGGTGGGATGAAAACCCAAGCAGACGGCACGGCAGTTCCCAAGTTTCCACCGGTCGCCAAGGAGGTTCCAAGACCGGTCCCGTCACCCCGCAACCAACTCGACTTGTGAAAAGATGGCCGTGTGCAGATGCATCCGGCCGCGTGCGTGCGCGACTACCGAAGACCGAGAGAGAGAGAAGAGAAAAACAGAGTTTCGGCACCCGACGATGCGAGGTTGAAAATCTGCCCAGCACCAACACTTCAACTTTCTCTCTTAACTTACCTTATATCGTTGTTCAATTACGAATCGAGTGCGAAAACGTCCTCTAAAGGGAATTGAATACCGCCTCGTTGGATTCATCGTTTCCAAACGCTCACCGGCTGTTTTTCCCCATTCAGTCCTACTGACTCTACCCCTTTGTTTTGAAGAAATTGATTGCTTACGTCACATGGCGGTTATGCGGCAGACGCCCACTTACAAGACCGGATTACGGATAGTCCGTCATATCCCGTTCGACTTTTCACTCGAGAAGGTCAGGGGCTCACTTTGTTTATCAGTACTCACTGCGATTCATGACTCTTTACTCGTGTTGATGTGCTTGGCAACCCAGTCGTGGGAATCGCTGCCACCAGATTTTACCTCAAACGCAAACTCAACAGACTATCAACTTCATCTACTACGTACGATTATTCATCGTTGAAGCCAAAAGCCAACGCATAGTCCTTCAGACCAAAATGTAACATGCCCATTACTGACAATTGATCGGATACCACCCCGATATCCATGGTCCCTGCTGACCCAAGAGCCGCGCTACCACTGGTGGGAGAATGTATGACTCCAAAAGTAGATTGGCTTCGTGACATCGTGGTTCGGTCCAACTGCCGACTTGGCTTGTGGAGGATCCCAAAGAAGAATTTCTCCTTCAGACTTCTCCAGCATGAAGCTATAGTCATGAGCCCTCTTCGGATTCGCTTTCCTTGATATGGCTAACCGGCAATCCGGGAGAAAAAAGGTCATTCGCCTACGAGGCTCGAGATCCATTATATATTGTTTCTAACTTTCTAGAGTCTGCAAATAAGAGCGTAGTATCCGC